AACGGTCGTGATCCCCACCCCTAAACCATATATATTCTTGTATGGGACAATAACACTAATCAAATGAAATATAGGGGAAGTCCAGGGGGTGACCCCCCTTCTTTTTGATAACTTGTAAACGGTCGAGATCCCCACCCCTGAACCATATATATTCTTGTATGGGTCAATAAAACAAATCAAGTGAAATATTGGGGAAGTCCATGGGGGTAACATCCGTCCCCTTCTTTTTGATAACTTGTAAACGGTTGAGATTCCCACCCCTGAACTATATATATTCTTGAATGGGACATTAAAATAAATCAAATGAAATTGAGGGGAAGTCCCCTGGGATAATCCCCACCCCCTTTCTTTTTGAAAACATGTAAATGGTCAAGATCCCCATCCTGAAACCATATATATTCTTGTATGGGACAATAAATCAAATCAAATGAAATATAGAAGAAGTCCATGGGGGTAACCCCCACCCCCTTCTTTTTGATAACTTGTAAACGGTCAAGATCCCCACCCCTAAACCATATATTTTCTTGTATGGGACAATAAAACAAATCAAATGAAATATAAGGCGAGTCCCCTTGGGTCACCCCCACCCCCCTCCTGTTTGAGAACTTGTAAAGGTCGAGATTCTTACCCCTAAACCATATATATTCTTGTATGGGACAATAAAACAAATCAAATGAAATGTAGGGGAAGTCCAGGGGGGTCACCCCCACCCCCTTTTTTTTTAAAACTTGTAAACAGTCAAGATCCCCTCCCGGAAACCATATATATTCTTGTATGGGACAATAAGACAAATCAAATGAAATAAAAGGTGAGTCCCCTGGGGTCACCCCACCCCCTCCTGTTTTAGAACTTGTAAATGGTCCAGATCCCTACCCCTAATCCATATATATTCTTGTATGGGACAATAAAACAAATCAAATGAAATATAGGGAAAGTCCATGGGGGTAACCCCCACCCCCCTTCTTTTTGATAACTTTTAAATGGTCAAGATCCGCACCCCTAAATCATATATATTCTTGAATGGGACAATAAAACAAATCAAATGAAATTGAGGGAAAGAACCCTGGGGTAACCCCCACCCCCTTCTTTTTGAAAACTTGTAAATGGTCAAGATCCCCACCCCGAAACCATATATATTCTTGTATGGGACAATAAAACAAATCAAATGAAATAAAAGGTGAGTCCCCTGGGGTCACCCCACCCCCTCCTGTTTTAGAACTTGTAAACGGTCGAGATCCCTACCCCTAATCCATATATATTCTTGTATGGGACAATAAAACAAATCAAATGAAATATAGGGAAAGTCCATGGGGGTAACCCCCACCCCCCTTCTTTTTGATAACTTTTAAATGGTCAAGATCCGCACCCCTAAATCATATATATTCTTGAATGGGACAATAAAACAAATCAAATGAAATTGAGGGAAAGAACCCTGGGGTAACCCCCACCCCTCTTCTTTTTGAAAACTTGTAAATGGTCAAGATCCCCACCCCGAAACCATATATATTCTTGTATGGGACAATAAAACAAATCAAATGAAATATAAGGTGAGTCCCCTTGGGTCACCCCACCCCCCTCCTGTTTAAGAACTTGTAAACGGTTGAGCTTTTCATTATTAGTAAGATAATACCACATTGAGGTCCAAAGGGTCCTAAATTAAACTTTTGTTTAATTTCATCAAATATTGAATTCTTTGGTTCTTTGATATGCTGATTCTAACAATGTTTGAGTGTTAAATCATATCTAATTTTAGAGAATTTGTCATCACTGGTTGTTTATTATTGATTATAATTTGAAAAATTGCATCATATCTTATTTTAGAGAACTATTTATCCAGTTTGAGTTATTTCCATTTGCACAGAAAATATTATGGATAAAATTAACCTGTGTTTCATTTCAACATAAATTAAATATATATATAGGGTTCTTTCAAATGCTGAATCTAAACTCTATTTAGATATTAGATTTTTAGGCCCAGTTTTCAAGTTGGTCCAAATCAGGGTCCAAAATTAAACTTTGTTTGATTCACCAAAAAATTGAATTTATGGGGTTCTTTGAAATGCTGAATCTAACCATGTATTGAGAGATTTTGGATTGTGGGCTCCTTTATCAAATTGGTCCACATTGAGGTCCAAAGGGTCCTAGATTAAAATTTTGTCTGATTTCATCAAACATTGAATTCTTGGGGTTCTTTGATATGCTGATTCTAATATGTACTTAGATTTTGGATATTGGACCATAATAGGTATTTAAATGTCCAATTTCAAATATATCAGTTCTTTGACTACATTCATTTTGTGTCACAAACCTATGATGTGTCAAATATTCAATCACAATCCAAATTCAGAGCTGTTTTAAGTTTAAATATAGTGTCCATACTTGCTCAACTGTTCAGGGTTCGACCTCTGCAGGAAAATCCGGTTTGCTGTCTCTCTGACAGCCTCTTGTTGGAAATTATCTTGAATATTATTATAGATAGAGATAAACTGTAAACAGCAATAATGGTCAGCAAAGTAAGATCTACAAATAAGTTAACATGACCAAATATTGTCAATTGACCCCTTAAGGAGTTATTGCCCTTTATTGCCCTTTAAAGTAAATTTTTTACAATTTTTCGTAAATTTTTGTAATCTTTTACAAAAATCTTCTCCTCTGAAACTACTGGGCCAAATAGAATCAAACTTAGCCACAATCATCATTAGGGTATTCAATTTAAAAAATGTGTGATGACCCTGCCTGCCAACAAAGATGGCCGTCATGGCAAAAAATAGAACATATGGGGTAGAATGCAAGTTTTGTCTATTATTCTGATAACCGTTATAAAAAGAGGAAATCTGAAGAGGGTAAAATAGTTCAGAATGTTGAGCTCTACCAATTATCCATATATGTCAAAACTGTAAGACAATTTCCTGTAGGAGTTATTGCCCTTAAATGACAAATTTTACCACTTTTTTTCGATTTTTGCCTATTATCATATCTTGAAAACTATAAAAGATAGAGAGAAACTTTAAATTGCAAAAATGATCAGAAGGACAAGTTCTACTAATAAGTCTTATGGTTGAAATCATAAGTTGACTCTTATTAGAGTTATTTCCCTTTGATGCTGATTTGTACAATTTATTTTGCGTTTTTGTCTTGTATCTTAAAACTTATAATAGATAGAAAGAAACTTAAGTATACAAAAATGATCAGCAAGACAAGGTCTACAATTAAGACAAATGGCAGAAATTGTCCAACGACTCCTTATTGGAGTTATTGCCCTTTCATTATGATTTTTACCATTTTTTTGGCGTTTTTCCTTCTTTGATATTAATTATAATAGATAGACAGAAACTTAAACAATCAAAAATGATAAGCAAGACGAGACCTACTAACAAGTCAAATTTTGCTGATATAATAAGTAGACTTGTTACTCTTTATAGGAGTTTTTTTTAACCCTCTTTTGTGTTTAGAGCAAAAGCTAAATAAGATCATGAAGATAGAGAGAAACTAAACAGACTTCAATGATCAGCAATATAAGATACAAAAAACAAAACAGAGATTTTTGTCATTAATTCTATTTTCATCTACAATGTTGGAGGTGTCCCCTGTTGAATATGCATATAGACCAAGGTGAGCGACACAGGCTCTTGAGAGCCTCTAGTTTGTAATCTCAGTGAGTTTTGATGAAATCTCAGTGTCTAATTTTTAATTCTCAGTGTGTGTTTTTAGGTTTTTTAATCTCAGTGTGTTTTTTTTTTAATTGTCAGTGTGTAAATTTTTGGAAAAATGGTTTAAACATAGTTTTGACGAGAACGGCTTGCCATACACATTCTTCTCTTATTTACATTTATTTGAGATCTAAAAATCAGTAATTTTTAAGGTGATCTCGATTCTATATTGTCGTATCTCCTGAAAAATAATAGTTTCCCTAAAGTATTTAGGTGTCATATGGTTGGTCTATCAAAATTTGCATCAACAACAGAATCCTACTTTGATTGGCCAATATTATTGAATTTGCTATAGTTAGAAAGGGTTATTGTGGAGTCTACTAAAAATCACTGAATTTGACCATATTGCCAGGGCTGACTGAGGTAATGATTTATTGATAAGAAGTCAAATAAGTGAGGCTAGAATAAATCTTAACATAACATACAATTGATGTATATAACATCAGATTTAATTTATTGCCCCTTGCGCGTCGCGTTGCAGGGGACATAGAAATACCAGCGTCTGTCTGTCTGTCCTGTCTTGTTAGTGCTCTCACTTGTACAATTCTGGCCAGATATTTATGAAACTTATATCATAGGTTTATATCACATTGTCTTGGACAAGTTTAAAAATCAGTGCCGATCAAAAAATTTTAAAAGAGTTATGCCCCTTGGAAATATTAATTATATAGAAAATTGCATTGTTAGCACTCTCATGTGTACAATTCTTGCCAGATTTTTATAAAACTTATATCATAGGTTTGTATCAACAATGTCTCGGACTGGTCTGGAAATCAGTGGCGATCAACAATTTTTAAAAGAGGAAATATTAATTATAGGGAAAATTGCATTGTTAGCACTCTTATGTCATATATGTGTACAATTCTTGTCAGATTTTTATGAATCTTACATCATAGGTTTATATCAACAATGTCTCGGATAAGTTCAAAATCAGTGCCAATCAATTATTTTGAAAAGAGTTATGCCCCTTGGAACTATTATTTAAATGGAATATTGCGTTGCATTTGCTCTCAAGCCTTCACATTTCTCTCATAAAATATGTGCAATGCGGGGGACATTGGAACTCTGTTCTTTTATTTATTTAACATAAAAGGAAATTGATATATCTTACATAAAATGCAATTGATGTATCCAACATGAGATTCAATTTATGTACATCTAACATAAGATGCGATTTATGTATTACAGTAACTAACATAAATTGAAATTGATGTATCTAGCATAAGATGAAATTGATGTACAGTTGATGTATCTAACATGAGATTCAATTTATGCATCTTTATATCATAGGAAATGACTAGAGAAGAGTAGTACTGACACAGAAAATATGATATCAGCATTTTGTTGGGGGAGTGCTGACCATGGCCAACTATTTACAGAAAATGATGAACCCATCTTGTCACCTAAGGAAGTAAAGCTGAACATTGATCAAGAGGTCAAAGACATTGTGGAAATCAATTGTAGTGAAGGCCATACTCTTCTAGTAACTTCTAATGGGTCATGTTATGCTTGTGGTTGTAACGACTATGGTCAAATTGGACATTATAGTACAAACAAAATTGGTAATTTATTTAACATGAAGAAAAACCTAAATAATTATTTTCATTGTTTTTATATGACCGCAAAAAAATTTTTGTGGTCGTATATTGGTATGACGTTGGTGTCGTCGTCGTCGTCGTCGTCGTCATCCGAAGACACATTAGTTTTCGCACTCTAACTTTAGTTTAAGTGAATGGATCTCAATGAAATTTTACCATAAGGTTCAATACCACAAAAAGAAGGTGGGATTGATTTTGGGGGTTATGGTACCAACAGTTAAGGAATTAGGGGCCAAAAAGGGGCCAAAAATAAGCATTTTTATACGACCGCAAAAAAATTTTTGTGGTCGTATATTGGTATGACTTTGTTGTCTTCGTCGTCGTTGTCGTCGTCGTCGTCCGGCGTTGTCGTCGTTGTCCGGCGTCGTCGTCCGAAGACACATTGGTTTTCGCACTCTAACTTTAGTTTAAGTGAATGGATCTCTGTGAAATTTTACCATAAGGTTCAATACCACAAAAGGAAGGTTGGGATTGATTTTGGGGGTTATGGTACTAACAGTTAAGGAATTAGGGGCCAAAAAGGGGCCAAAAATAAGCATTTTTTAGTTTCCAGACAATAACTGTGGAATGGTGTATGGATCTCTCTGAAATTATACTACAAGTTTCCATACCACAAAGGGATGGTTAGGATTTGCTTTGGGGGGTTATGGCTCAAACCGTTTAAGAATTAGGGGCAAAAAAGGGGGGAAAACAAGGTTGTCCTGGTTAATGGACAAATTCTTTAGTACTAAACATAATTTAAAGCAGTGTAAGGGAGATAAATCAAATACATCATTGAAATTATCTCCCTTACACTGCTTTTAAAGTAATGGTTAATGAACAATTAAGATAATTTAAAACAGTGTAAGGGAGGTAATCCAAATACAACGTTTTGGTTACTTCCCTTACACTGCTTTTAAATTATGTTTAAAGAAATGCATATTTATAAAGGAAGACCAGTAAAAATATCTGCAAATGTTGCATCTTTTTTTTTACAAAAAAATCCATATGAAAGATTTGACACTATATTTTAAATTCTATTATAAAATTGATTAAGTTAGCACTATGGTAAATTTAAATGGGTAATTATGGTTGCAAATTCCATTGGAAATTTGAATTGAGATTATGACCATATCTTGAGGGAAAGAATTTTTTGGGGGAAAAAAAGGGGGGGGGGGGGGGCGGGGGGTAAAAAGAAATTGTGGGGGGGTCAATTTTTTCTCATTTCAGATTTCAGAAATTAAAAAGAATTATTCTTCAAATATTTTTTTTTTTTCAAATTTCAAATATTGAAAAATTTCAAGAAGTAATCTTTAATTGCACAGTATGGCGCATTAGATTTGTAAAGTCTTTGACCACATTTATTTATTTGTTATGCCGAATCTAACCGTGTATTTAGATTTTTAATTTTGGGTCCAGTTTTCAAATTGGTCTACATTAAGGTCCAAAGGGTCCAAAATTAAACTTTGTTTGATTTTAACAACAATTGAATATATGGGGTTCTTTGATATGCTGAATCTAAACATGTATTTAGATTTTTGATTTTGGGCCCAGTTTTCAAGTTGGTCCAAATTGGGGTCCAAAATTAAACTATGTTTGATTTCAACAAAAATTGAATATATGGGGTTCTTTGATATGCTGAATCTAACCATGTATTTAAATTTTTTATTTGTGGACCCCGCTTTCAAATTGGTTCATATTGAGGTCAAAAGGGTCCAAAATTAAACTTTGTTTGATTTCATCAAAAATTGAATTATTGGGGTTCTTTGATATGCCAAATCTAACCGTGTATTTAGATTTTTAATTTTGGGTCCCGTTTTTTAAATTGGTCTACATTAAGGTCCAAAGGATCTAAAATTAAACTTAGTTTGATTTTCACAAAAATTGAATTCTTGGGGTACTTTGATATGCTGAATCTAAACATGTGTTTAGATTTTTGATTATGGGCCCAGTTTTCAAGTTGGTCCAAGTTGGGGTCCAAAATTAAACTTTGTTTGATTTCAGCAAAAATTGAATATATGGGGTTCTTTGATATGCTGAATCTAAACATGTATTTAGATTTTAGATTTTTGGTCCAGTTTTCAAGTTGGTCCAAATTGGGGTCCAAAATTAAACTTTGTTTGATTTCAACAAAAATTGAATATATGGGGTTCTTTGATATGCTGAATCTTACCATGTTTTTAGATTTTTTATTTGTGGGCCCGCTATCAAATTGGTTCATATTGAGGTCAAAAGGGTCCAAAATTAAACTTTGTTTGATTTCATCAAAAATTGAATTATTGGGGTTCCTTGATATGCCAAATCTAACCGTGTTTTTAGATTTTTAATTTTGGGTCCCGTTTTTTAAATTGGTCTACATTAAGGTCCAAAGGGTCCAATATTTAACTTAGTTTGATTTTAACAAAAATTGAATTCTTGGGGTACTTTGATATGCTGAATCTAAACATGTGTTTAGATTTTTGATTATGGGCCCAGTTTTCAAGTTGGTCCAAGTTGGGGTCCAAAATTAAAACTTTGTTTGATTTCAACAAAAATTGAATATGTGGGGTTCTTTGATATGCTGAATCTAAACATGTATTTAGATTTTAGATTTTTGGTCCAGTTTTCAAGTTGGTCCAAATTGGGGTCCAAAATTAAACTTTGTTTGATTTCAACAAAAATTGAATATATGGGGTTCTTTGATATGCTGAATCTTACCATGTATTTAGATTTTTTATTTGTGGGCCCGCTATCAAATTGGTTCATATTGAGGTCAAAAGGGTCCAAAATTAAACTTTGTTTGATTTCATCAAAAATTGAGTTATTGGGGTTCTTTGATATGCCAAACCTAACCGTGTTTTTAGATTTTTAATTTTGGGTCCCGTTTTTTAAATTGGTCTACATTAAGGTCCAAAGGGTCCAAAATTAAACTTAGTTTGATTTTAACAAAAATTGAATTCTTGGGGTACTTTGATATGCTGAATCTAAACATGTGTTTAGATTTTTGATTATGGGACCATTTTTCAAGTTGGTCCAAGTTAGGGTCCAAAATTAAACTTTTTTTTTTTGTTTGATTTCAACAAAAATTGAATATATGGGGTTCTTTGATATGCTGAATCTAACCATGTATTTTGATTTTGGACATTGGACCATGATAGGTAAATTAAAAAAATTAAAGTTCTTAGACCAGATTCTTTCTGTGTCAGAAACCTATGCTGTGTCAAATATTTAATCACAATCCAAATTCAGAGCTGTATCAAGCTTGAATGTTGTGTCCATACTTGCCCCAACTGTTCAGGGTTCGACCTCTGCGGTCGTATCAAGCTGCGCCCAGCGAAGCATTTTATTGTAACTTCCAGACATAACTTGTGTGTAAGTGTATGGATTTCTCTGACATTGTACCACAAGGTTCTATATCACAAAGGGAATGCTGGGATTGATTTTGGGGGGTAATTACCTCCACATTTTAGGAATTAGGGGCCAAAAAGGGGCAAAAAACAAGCATTTTTTTCTAGTTTCATGACAATAACTTGTGTGTAAGTGTATGGTTCTATCTGACATTGTATCACAAGGTTCCATTTCACAAAGGGAATGCTGGGATTGATTTTGGGGGTAATTGGCAGATTCCATATAAGAAAGTGAAACAACTCCCATAAGCACGTTAGGCAAAAATCATAGCAATGAACTTCTGTTTTTGAATACATGCTTTACTAATAAAGATAAAGACAATTTGACCAACAAAAAAATTATGAGCATCATCCTTTTTTAATAAACGAAGCCTTAAATATTATGTTTCTGACATAAGATTTGACAGACTTTATTGTTTCTGACATAAGATTTGACAGATTTTATTTTTTCTGACATAAGATTTGACAGACTTTATTATTTCTGACATAAGATTTGACAGACTTTATTTTTTCTGACATAAGATTTGACAGACTTTATTATTTCTGACATAAGATTTGACAGACAAATTGAGTTTCTGACATAAGATTTTGACAGACTTGATTCTGACATAAGAATTTTCATACATAAGATATTTTGACAGACAATATATATTTGTTTTTTTTGACCGACATTGGAAATCAAATCCTAGTTGAAAGTCGTTTTTAAAACTCCTGGAAAATACTGCAGCCTAACATCTAACAAGATTTCACTACAGGTCAAAGAACTTTAACTGTTAGCACATTCAAATGTTTCAGACATAAGAAAACAAGTTTGACAGATCTTATGTAGGAAACATATAAGTTAAAATTATTGCTTGAATAAAGTTAAATGAAAGAATCAACATGTGTTTTTTCTTATGCACAGCATGACTTACAGTTTTAACTGGCATATATTGGAACCTACAATGATTTTGAAAGTTTTTAAAGCGATGTTCCTGACATAAGATTTATTGACAGACACTGAGCTATAAAGCAAGATATTTGAAAGTGAAAAAAAATATATATCACAGATGTTTTTGACTAAAAAAAGTAACAAATTTGGGAACAGGGATGTTTGAATAACCAGACTACACTAGTAAATACCAGTATACAAGTGTCAACATAAAGCATTGCAACACATAAACATTGTGTAAAAAAATGGGAGTTAATTCTGTCAAAATTTTTGCATTTTTTCAACTTGTTTTAATCATTTCTACTTTAAACGGAAACAATCATATCCAAAAATTATTTTTATAATTTCTTCTAACATCATTATTCCTCAAAACATTCACAGATTATCTTTAAAATAACAGTAATTATTATTTTTATCTATTTATTCATTTTGACAGACATTTCAATTTCTTATATGGAATCTGCCAATTGGTTCCAAATTTTAGGAATTAGGGGCAAAAAAGGGGCAAAAAACAAGCATTTTTCTAGTTTCATGACAATAACTTGTGTGTAAGTGTATAGATCTTTATGAAATTGTACTACAAGGTTCCATATTACAAAGGGAAAGCTGGAATTGAGTTTGGGGGTAATTGCCCAAAAAGTTTAGGAATAAGGGGCCAAAAATAAGCATTTTTCTAGTTTCCAGACAATAACTTGTGTTCAAGTGTATGGATCTCTCTGAAATTGTACTGCAAGGTACCATACCACAAAGGGAAGGCTGGGATTGATTTTGGGGGTAATTCCCTCAAAATTTTAGTAATTAGGGGCCATAAAAGGGCAAAAAACAAGCATTTTTCTAGTTTCAGGACAATAACTTGTGTGTAAGTGTATGGATCTCTCTGAAATTGTACTGCAAGGTACCATACCACAAAGGGAAGGCTGGGATTGATTTTGGGGGTAATTCCCTCAAAATTTTAGTAATTAGGGGCCATAAAAGTGCAAAAAAACAAGCATTTTTCTAGTTTCAGGACAATAACTTGTGTGTAAGTGTATGGATCTTTATGAATTTGTACTGCAAGGTTCCATATCACAAAGGGAAAGCTGGGTTTGAGTTTGGGGTTTATTGCCCTAAATGTTTAGGAATTTGGGGCCAAAAAGGGGCCAAAAAACAAGCATTTTTCTAGTTTCCAGACAATAACTTGTGTTCAAGTGTATGGATCTCTCTGAAATTGTACTGCAAGGTACCATACCACAAAGGGAAAGCTTGGATTGAGTTTGGGGGTGATGAATCATAAGGGGTTCAAAAAATTTTGGGGGGGGGGGGATTTTTTTTTCCTTTTTTTTTCTTTAAAATTTTCCATTTTAAATTGGTTATTTCTGATTTATATATAAAAGCAAATAATAATGATATGGTTTGAATAGGTAAATTAAAATATTTTAAGTTCTTAGACCACTTTCATTCTGTGTGAGAAACCTATTATTTAATTACAATCCAAATTCAGTGCTGTATCAAGCTTGAATGTTGTGTCCATATTTGCCCCAACTGTTCAAGGTTCGACCTCTGCGGTCGTATCAAGCTGCGCCCCAGCGGAGCATTTTATTCAGACTTGTACACTTAAGCATGTATTTATATGGTATAAAAGCTTATTTATGAATCAAAATATTTCAAATTTTTCTGCAATTTGTGCTTTTCCCCTTGATCCTACTGCCTAATAGTTTTTTGTCGAGCCTGCGACTTCTGTCGCAGAAAGCGCGACATAGGGATTGTGATTCGGCGGTGGCGGTGATGGCAGCATTATCCAACTATTTATAAGCTTTATATTTCAGAAAGTAGAAGACCTGGATGCTTCATACTAAGTATTAATTACCTTTTTATATGAAGTTTCCGTCTTTCATATGTCTATTGTCCTTGACCTCATTTTCATGGTTCAGTGACTACTTGTAAAAAAAGTTTAGATTTTTTGTAATGTTAATTTCTCTCTTATAATGAGTAATTGGATAACTATATTTGGTATGTGTGTACCTTGTAAGGTGCTCATGCCTGTTAGACAGTTTTCACTTGACCTCGACCTCATTTCATGGATTAGTGAACACGGTTAAGTTTTTGTAGTCAATTCCATTCTCAGATACTGTAAGCAATAGGTCTACTATATTTGGTGTATGGATGGATTGTAAGGTGTACATGTCCAACTGGCAGGTGTCATCTGACCTTAACCTCATTGTCATGGTTTAGTGGTAAAAGTTGAGTTTTTGTGTTTGGTCTGTTTTTCTAATACCATACCTGCCAACCTCTGAAACCTTCAAAGAGGGAGATCTCCCCCTCAGCTATGACAGCTGAGGGAGAGATTTTGCACGAACGACATTTTCAAGATAAATACATGACCTGTTTACTTATTCATCTACAAAACACCAATGAGAGTTAAAAAATATACTTTATTTCTTCAATTCCTGGTTATAATCTATACAAGGTTTTTTTTTATGCCCCCGCCGTAGCGGAGGGGGCATTAAGTTTTACCCTTGTCCGTCTGTACGTCCTTCCGTACGTCCGTACGTCCCAAAATTGGTTTCCGTTCTCTAACTTGAGTTTGCCTTAACCAAATGTTATTAAACTTTTACACAATGCTTATTATCACAAAACACAGATCAAGTTTGAATTTTGGTGGCGTCACTTTAACCATTCTAGAGTTATTCCCCTTTATAAATGGAAAAATTGCAAAATTTTTATTTTCTTCTAAATATCAAGTAATTTTTATTAAAATTGGAGTTATCTTCCTTTTTCCATGATTATAGTTGAATCAACTACAATCAATGCTTTATACAATGCAATGTTTAATTTTGACTTCCACTGATAAAACACAGATCAAGTTGAATTTGGGTAGTGTCACTTTAACCATTATTGAGTTATGCCCAAGGATCCGGAAATTTTTTCACACAATTTCGGTCATTTTGAGATGATTGAAAAGTTGGTGCCCCTTTCAAATTGTTGATGTCAAACTAGATTCATAGCATCAACGAACTTGTATTTATGTTTCATCGCATTTACTAAGTAAATTTCTTACCATTTTTCTAAAAACCTTCAAGAACAGTTTAGGGAAGGCAACAGTTTAAAATTGAAATGATTTTAATGACTCAAAATGGTTAATTTCTCAGACATTGCTTACGTTTCTTTCGATTTGACAAAATTAAAACCGGAAGTTTTGCGATAACATTAAAGTACGAATAATTCCTGATTCATTTCCGGGATTCGTTTTGTTTATCAAATTGACAGGAAATCACCGGCTTCTTTTTATTTTATTACCTTTAAAAGTGTTTGAATATAACAGATTATAGTTGCACTCGTTTATTTTAACATGAAATCAATTTGCATTTTACGATTAAATATTTAATTTGCTGAAGACAATTTCATGCATGCGTATTACATAGTAAATAAAGCACATGTGTTACTCATGAAAAAATACTTTTTTCTACGTCAATTAAAGTAAGGTTTATTTTTAAATCAGAATTGATGATTGTCTTTGCTGAAAGTAATGAAATAATGAATACACTTGTCAGGGAATTTTAATTTCTTAAAGATATTATTCTGAGCTTGTTATCAATGTGACCAATTGTCAGGTGTGAATTAAAACCACAGGTAAAAAGTGATTAGCGATCATTAGCCAATGTTTCCCGGAGGCATTGATATAGATATTAGGAGGGCCTTCAGGATTATCAAACTACTGGAGTTTTATTACAGGAAAGGGATTATAAACAAAAACAAGTGATCACAAGTGGAAAATGGCGATTAAGAAACCCGATTTCAAACATTAGGTCAATGAAATGATCAAAATTATTTCTGTTAAAAAATAAAATTTGTCCTAAATCCCAATTACTCGTTTAGGACATATAGCTTTCATCTTAAGACATGACTGGCAAATATGACCGTTTCCAGACCCTTGGTTATGCCCCTTTATAAATCGAAAGATTGCAAAATTTTTAGTTTCCATTTTGTAACTTAAGTTTGCCCCAACCAAACATTATGAAATCTATACACAATATTCATTACCACAAAACTCAGAACAAGTTAAAATTTGGGTAGCGTCACTTTTACCATTCTTCAGTTATGTCCCTTTATAAATATATGATATGCAAGCAGGGGCATCATCTGTGTCCACATGTGTACACTATCCACATTTTTTCCTTTTTCAATACCTCTGAGTCTCATAACTCATAACATTCCATATTTTGATTTTGCTGTGAGACTCACACTTAGCATGCTTTTAAACGTCGTACAGACCAGAAGAAGCAACCGAAAATATGTTTGAACATAATGTGCAAAATGAAGATTCATTGCAGAGTGAACTTGGTCGTAAAAATTGAAAATCTTTCATCCAATCTGCTTATAAATTTGTAGTTATATTTCTTCTTTTTTACACTTTCACTTGGTCCAGACAAAGACCTCTATCTTGTTGCAGTTGATATAGCAGAATGAGTTTTGATTACTTATAAGGGAAATCAAACATAAAAACTACTTACCAAAGTTTTCAAATGATCGCCGATTGTTTGTTTACTTCTATTGACAGTAAAGAAAAAGCCAGAGAAATACGATCGTGGGTCATTCCGGGTTAACATATTCAAGATTCCATACTCCCGCACGGGAGCTGACCAGCAAGCGGGAGATTTCCGAAATTTTGTCGTTTGTACTGGAGACTCCCGCTCAAAACAGGAGGGTTGGCAGGTATATAATACTCTATGCAATAGGTCAACTATATTTGGTATATGGAAATATTTTACGATGTACATGTCAGTCTGGCATGTTTTATTTGACCTTGACCTCATTTTCATGGTTCATTGCTCAATGTTTAAGTTTTTTGTGTTTTGGTCTGTTTTTCTTAAACTATAAGCAATAGGTCAACTATATTTGGTATATGGAATATTTGTAAGGTGTATTTGTCTGTCTAGCAGGTATCATCTGACCTTGACCTCATTTTCATGGTTCATTGCTCAATGTTTAAGTTTTTTGTTTTTTGGTCTGTTTTTCTTAAACTATAAGCAATAGGTCAACTATATTTGATGCATGGAATGATTTCGAGGTGTACATGTCTGTCTGGCAGGATTCATCTGACTTTGACCTCATTTTCATGGTTCATTGGTCAATATAAAGTTTTCATGGTTTGGTCTGTTTCTCGTATACTATATTTGGTGTATGGAATGATTGTAAGATGTACATGTATTTTCATCTTAGTTTATCTGACCTTGACCTCATTTTCTTTGATCATGTTTATGTTAATGTGATACTTGTCGTAAAACTTTATATTTAGGACTATCAACATAAAATCAATCACCACCATTTCAGTGACTCCCTATTCAGCTTTTGTCTTGCCTGGCATACAAGACATAGGGATTACTTTCCGGTGGCGGTGTAAACTATTTGTATAAAGATTTATATTCAGAGGATAGATGACCTGGATGCTCCATACCTAGTATACAGATGCATTATGTTACAAAGTTCTGTCTGTCATATGTCCTTGACCTTATTTTCATGGTTCAGCAACTGCTTAAAAAAAATATTTTGTGTTTTTTTGTCATGTGAATTTCTCAATTATTATGAGTAATAGGATAACTATATTTGGTATATATATATGTGTTCCTTGCATGATCTACATATCCGTCAGACAGGGTTCACCTGACCTCAACCTCATTTCATGGATCAGTGATCAAATTAAAAGCTACGTGATTAGGTCTGTTTTTCAGATACAATAAGCAGTAGGTCAACTATATGTGGTGTATGGAATGATTGAAAGTAGATATAAGAAGATGTGGTATGAGTGCCAATGAGACAACTCTCCATCCAAGTCAAAATTTATAAAAGTAAACCATTATAGGTCACAGTACGGTCTTCAACACGGAGCCTTGGCTCACACCGAACAGTAAGCTATAAAGGGCCCCCAAAATTACTAGTGTAAAACCATTCAAATGGGAAAACCAACGGTCTAATCTATATAAAAAACGAGAAACGAGAAACACTTATGAACCACATCAACAAACGACAACTACTGAACATCAGATGTCAGTCTTGCAGATTTCATTTGACCTTAACCTCATTTTTATTGCTCATTGGTCAATGTAAAGTTTTCGTCTCGCCTGCAACAAAAGTCCAGAATGTAAGACATAGGGATTTTAAACTGGCAGTGTGGGCGGCGGCTTAAACTTTTTGTATAAATCTTAATATTTCTAAGGGTAGGTGACATAAAAGCTTCCTACCATCTGTACATATGCCTTATGTTAAGATTTTCATGGTTCAGCTACTGCTTAAAAAATGTAGAGATTTTTTGTTATGTGAATTTCACACTTATTATGAGTATTAGGATAACAAGGCTGTAGGATGACTTATAATTGTTATTTGGCTTTTGTTCTAAATTGGATAGTTGTCTCATGGTAATCATACCTGATTACCTATTTTTATATGGTAACATTTGACTTGGGAAAAAATGTTGCATTTTCCCTTCTTTGCAAACACATCCACATGGAGGTTTTGAAGGTCAAACAATAGATATACACTTCATTTATTTTTTTCAGGAAAAGTATCATCTTTGAATAATCAAAAAGTGATCAGTGTAGTAGCAGGATCACAACACAGTTTGGCATTAACTGAAGCTGGTGAAGTATTCAGCTGGGGTGATAACAGTTGTGGTCAGTTAGGAAGAGGACAAGTAGATGAAAACCAGGCTAGACAACCAAAGTAAGTAGTATGGATAATTTACAGCTGAAACCCTGCTGGTGATATATATCTAACTTTCTGGCAAGAAGAACTTAATGAGGAGCTGGTTAAAAATAAAAGTGGGTGTTTTATAAAATTACTCAAGTGGAACCCAGTTATATTGATAGTCACCTGAACCACAGTGTTTCACTGGGTAATATTTATTATAATTCTATTCAAACATTTTGATACCGGTAGATGTGAATATAATCCAAATTGAACTGACCAGTTGCAATATTATGGTTCCCAAGGTATGGTTTTATCTTTAAAAATGGCTATGAGTTGAGATTTATTTGACCCAGTCAATTGGTGAAAAATGATTTTATTTCTGTGCACAAAACATATTTCTAGAATTACCTTCATCAGCTACACTGTGAGTCGTGACCAAAATGTTTTGAAAGTAAAAAAAAAGAAAATATTTGGGAATGTAATAACGAAAATCAAATAAAGTACCATAAATTTTAAGCTATGTATTTGCATTTGAAGAAAATGCTGATCGTTTATAATAATGTTCCATTCTTACTGTTATGTCATCATGTTGATCATGTATGTGCAAATTAACCAAATTGGTATGGGGGCAGTTTTCAAATATTCTTCGACTTATTTTACATTGTGCACAGTTGCTGTCTGAAATAAAATTTGTTTTGATCAGGTGATAGGCAGTAAACATTCTGTATAAATGTCATTTTAGGCAAAGCTTGCACAGTGTGATATTGAAGAAACATTAATTTATGTGTGGTTAAAATTTCATGGTTTTGTCTTTAAATTCAATTTCATTGGAATTAGTTTTTGTGTATTCCAGTATGCGTAAGTAATATTATTTGTAGGTTAAAATTTTGTAAGGTTTTTGGAAGGATTGGAACTAGTGTTCCAATTCTTTCCTAAGGCTTCCAAACAGGAAATAGCCAGATGAGCTACTAAATCTATACTCATTGAAATATAGTTCCCAGTAATTCTTATGTATGTGTACATATGAACTGCCAAAAATTTGGGTTACTGTGAAAGTACTTTTATTCGTGGGGTACCAATTTTTGTGGATGGCTTTATCCACGAATTTATGTGTCCAACAAAATATTACAACTGTTGTCCAAATCAAGACATGGAAAGATCCCCATGTAGGTTTGATACGGGCATATAATCTAGAAAATACATCGAATATCAGCAAATGCACTATAAACTATATACAACTTCAGACATAATTTTACCCATTTAATCTTTAAAAAACCAAAACTGGAAGACTTTTAACCTTGAAATTCTCATGAAAAATTAGTTTTGATCGATGAAAGTCAGATTTTTCGGTGATGATATGTGATGATGAAGTGTTATATTATAGAATTCTCATACTAAAAAAAAAATCATATTGTTCCTTTGAGTAAATTTCAGAAGTATATCTGTATGTAATACTTGTTGTATAACCTTTTTCTCAAAGACTTTCAATAACATTTTATTTTATTGTCTCTCCAATTCTTGTGTTTAAGAAATGTATGTTTTTATTTTTCAGAGTAATAAAGCCATTGGTTACATATCATATCATACAGATTTGTTCTGGCAACAATCATTCTCTAGCCTTAAGTAATGGTAAGTCTGGTCACTCAGTTCAATTACTTTTAAAATTATACAGTAGCCCCCCTCTATTTAAATTTGTAAGTTTTTATTTTGGCAGATTCTTAATTCACAATTCAATATTTGGCGGATAATGAAATGGTTGCAGTTAAAAATTTGTAAAGATTGACAGGAAGAAAAAAGTGAAACATCTTTGCTGTAGTTCTGTATAGACACAAGAACTCAAATCTTAAATTTACTTGTCTCGTGACATTTTAATATGCTAGCCGAACTTTGTCTATAAGATAATAAAGTTGCGAGCTAGTATCTTTATGGTCATTCAATCAAACAAGTGTCTATTGTTATGGTTAAATATTTTTTTTTACCTGAATGTCGTGGTATTTATTGATTATTTGTCTTATTTATTGATTATTTTCTGATACAGTTAATCAATAGAATACCATAACTTAGATATGTGTCACAGGTGTACAAACTTCTTTAAATGTTACGGTTGATTAGTTACGAAATTGACTGGACCTTTGATGTACTAATTAAGTTATAAAATTATTAAGAGTGATTTACATCAAAATATCATATTTATATAGTAATTCAATAAATATTTTTTTTTTAATTTTACATTTAGTGTAGTCTAAGGAGGACAAAAAAAGCAGTTGTTGTAAATTTTATTATTTCTGACATATTTTTTTTTTGCTGTAAATCGAAAGTAAATCAGTCTTTGCCAAGTCAGCTGGTATCATGATATGAATGAGTGAGCTGCCAATCAAAAAGAAATGCAATGGATTCAGTGTCAGTCTTATTGTTTAAAAACAAACAAAAAATGCTAAAATTTTGTATAATTTAAATTCACAACATTGAAAAAAAATATTTTGAATGCATTTTCTTGTTAAAAGTCCTTACAAATTATTCTGTCATTACCTTTTCAAACCTGACTTGACCAAGCCCTTATAATTTTGAAGATTATAAATAAAAAGACATTATAATATTTCATTTTAACAAAAGTTGGGATTTGGTTTTTGTCGCAAAAGCGAGACATAGCGATCCTACATTCCGTCGAAATTTCCGAAATTTTAATAACTTTCTTAAACTATCCTGGATTTGTACCACACTTGGACAGATGCTTGTTTGTGATCATAAGATAGCATTCAAAATAAAATTTTGTTAAAAAAAAATCCTGATTATCCGTATTTTACTTATAAATGGACTTAGTTTTTCTGCCAGTTAACATTACATTCACTCAGTGGTTAAAGCTTTCAAAATTTTAATAACTTTCTTAAACTATCCTTGGACAGAAGCTTGTTTATGATAAAAAGCTAGTATCTAGAAGGAAATTTTGTAAAAATTTATTTCCTGTTTTTCCGTATATTACTTATAAATGGACTTAGTTTTATTCCAGTTAACATTACGTACAGTCTGCAGTTAAAGTTTTTAAAACATTTATTAGATTCATAAACCTTCTTGGATTTTTACCAAATTTGAACAGAAATTCTTACAATCAAAAGATAGTATCTAGAGGAAAATTTTTAATAATTTTTTCCCCATTTTTGTTGAGCCCGCGACTAACAGCAAAAGTAGGCGAGACACTGGGTTCTTCGGAACCCTTACGATTTTTTTTCTAATTTCACTGCCTCCATATCAGGTACCATTGGACCAAAATAATGATTAACTGGCACAATTACACACAAATGAATGTTCAAGAGTAGCATGTAAGATTTCCAACAAAATTACATTTGCAGCAATTAGCTGATCCAGCATGTCCCCACTTAAATTTACATTAATTATACAATTACAAATAAAAGCAGGTGCTGGATAAACTCAAGGAAGCAGAAACTTGAAGACAAATACTAAAAACAAAATCTAGAGGGCAACATACAGATTTCAACAAAAGACAGGTGTCTATATATACAATTTGTCAAGCTACATTGATCTGTCAAGTCTCAATTATTTTCTTGATGTGCTGTATTTTTATCATGATAATCTTTAATTTTAGTTGTCATTGTTTATTGTGTAGTTTCCTCATTTTATACAAGCAATTGTCTTTTTACGTGATTATTTACCAGTAGTGCCTTATTCCTTTTGGTAATTTTCAGAAGCCTTTGTTCAATTATGAAGTAAAATATTTTTTAAGTTTTAAATAAGTCATTGCTCTAAGACCTTTTACATTGATTTAGATCAATCCACTTTGCTATCCTAGTAGTTTCCAATTGGAGAATTTTGATTTTGAATACAAAATGTCTTTTTTTCCTATTTGTATAATAAAGCTTTCTATGAATTCTTTTAATACTTTGATTATTGCTTTCAGTATAATTTTGCTTTGAATTAAAAAGAAACAGCAGTCAAAGTAATAAATCATGAATTGGTCAAAAAAGATATTTATCATGACTATAACTGATTATTTGTTTGAAAAAAATGCTAAAAAAAACCCTTAAATTTGACAATTTTACCGTAAAAAATGGTGAAAAATAGATGGTGCTGCAAAACTCGGCTATATGATAAAATTTAAGCAAAAAATTTTACAAGTGAAACTGACATGGCCAAAGTGTTGTGTGTACCAAATTTCATGAGATTCTGTGAGATTCACTCCCAGACACTTTTGCATGGTTTTCTGGGAGCCTAGTTGCCATCCCTGTCTTTATCAACAATTATTGTCACAGAAGAAAAATTTCACATTCTGACATAATACAGGCTGGATAAATTTCAACAGGTAAACAGGTAAGGGTGAAGCAAATAGTTTCATCCAATCCAATTGCACAAGATAATATAACAATTACCAGTCTATATCAATATCAGTGTTATGGGTAAATTGATAGAATTACGAAAACCTAAGTCTCTATTGGCATGTTTCTCCTTAGCATATTTAAAGCAAAAGAAATTTTGGGCTTGAAAAGTTAACATAATTATTGACTGAAACAATAAATTTGCATTTATTTATTAACAAATAGTACACAGATAAAAAGCAACAATATTTCTTAAAATACTGAAAAATCTCATTCTGATTTATTCAGTAATATTGTCATAAAGTGTGTTTAAGTTAACCTAAATATAGCAAACATTGAATTCATCACACACTATAGTGTTAAGCCTTTTTGATAGATTATATTATGTAGATATTCTGTGCAATAAAATTAAAGAGATGTGGGGTATACGTCAATGAAACAGCAACCCGAACATACTGTTTTTTATACGACCGCAAAAAAATTTTGTGGTCGTATATTGGTATGACGTTGGCGTCGTCATCGTCGTCGTCGTCCGGCGGCGTCGTCGTCCGAAGACACATTGGTTTTCGCACTCTAACTTTAGTATAAGTGAAGTGATCTTTTTGAAATTTGACCATAAGGTTAAATACCACAAAAGGAAGGTTGGGATTGATTTTGGGGATTATGGTACCAACAGTTAAGGAATTAGGGGCCAAAAAGGGGCCAAAAATAAGCATTTTCTAGTTTCCAGACAATAACTGTGGAACGGTGTATGGATCTCTCTGAAATTATACTACAAGTTTCCATACCACAAAGGGATGGTTAGGATTTGCTTAAGGGGGTTATGGCTCAAACCGTTTAGGAATTAGGGGCAAAAAAGGGGGAAAAACAAGGTTGTCCTGGTTAATGGACAAATACTTTAGTACAAAACATAATTTAAAGCAGTGTAAGGGAGATAAATCAAATACATCATTGAAATTATCTCCCTTACACTGCTTTTAAATTATGTATAAAGTAATGGTTAATGAACAATAAAGATAATTTAAAACAGTGTAAGGGAGGTAATCCAAATACAAAAAAATCCATATGAAAGATTTGACACTATATTTTTAATTCTATTATAAAATAAATTAAGTTAGCACTATGGTAAATTTAAATGGGTAATTATGGTTGCCAACTCCATTGGAAATTTGAATTGAGATTATGACCATATCTTGAGGGAAAGAATTTTTTGGGGGAAAAAAAGGGGGGAGGGGATAAAAAGAAATTGTGGGGGGGTCAATTTTTTCTCATTTCAGATTTCTGAAATTAAAAAGAATTATTCTTCAAATATTATTTTTTTTTCAAATTTCAAATATTGAAAAATTTCAAGAAGAAATCTTTAATTGCACAGTATGGCGCATTAGATTTGTAAAATCTTTGATCACATTTATTTATTTGTTATGCCGAATCTAACAGTGTATTAAGATTTTTAATTTTGGGTCCAGTTTTCAAAGTGGTCTACATTAAGGTCCAAAGGGTCCAAAATTAAACTTTCTTTGATTTTAGCAAAAATTGAATATATGAGGTTCTTTGATATGCTGAATCTAAACATGTATTTAGATTTTTGATTTTTGGCCCAGTTTTCAAGTTGGTCCAAATTGGGGTCCAAAATTAAACTTTGTTTGATTTCAACAAAAATTGAATATATGGGGTTCTTTGATATGCTGAATCTAACCATGTATTTATAATAATAATAATAATAATAAATTCTTTATTTAAAGAGGGTAAACTCAGTTAGTTACAATAAACTAATCTTCCCTGAGGCCCTCACATACAAATTACAATACAATCAAAAACAGATATTTACACAAAGTTAATTTACAGTCAATTAGTTCAATGTAATATTACTAACATGATATATCTTTTATTTGTGGACCCCGTTATCAAATTGGTTCATATTGAGGTCAAAAGGGTCCAAAATTAAACTTTGTTTGATTTCATCTAAAATAAATTATTGGGGTTCTTTGATATTCCAAATCTAACCGTGTATTTAGATTTTTAATTTTGGGTCCTGTTTTTTAAATTGGTCTACATTAAGGTCCAAAGGGTCCAAAATTAAACTTAGTTTGATTTTAACAAAAAATTGAATTCTTGGGGTTCTTTGATATGCTGAATCTAAACATGTGTTTAGATTTTTGATTATGGGCCCAGTTTTCAAGTTGGTCCAAGTTGGGGTCCAAAATTAAACTTTTTTTGATTTCAACAAAAATTGAATATATGGGGTTCTTTGATATGCTGAATCTAACCATGAATTTAGATTTTTTATTTGTGGACCCCGCT